GTAAGGAAGACTTTCTATATATCAAACCGAGAGACCTGAGGCCTAAGATCATCCAAGCAGGGCAGAGTTTACTAAGCTCTTCCGAGCGATCCACGATCTAACCAGAACCATAGGCCAAAACCAAGCAAACTAATGCCAACACCCGGCTACCCCTAACTATCGCCCAACCAAGAGGTCTTTCTCCTATAACATAGCAAAGTTTAGGAAACTTAACCCACTACACTTTAAAGGAGGCCCCAACCCCTTATAGTTGAAGCTTGGATCCTATAGATAGATAAACTTTTCTCTATCTTATACCTAACTGAGGAACAAAAGGTTCCCCTAGCAGCTTTAATGTTAACTGGTGAAGCTGAGCATTGGTGATGACTTAAGAAAGAAGTCCTACCTACCCCTACCACTTGGGAGGTTTTCATGGATGATTCTTTAAAAACTTCTTCCATGTCTATATTTGAGAGAAGAAAGAGGAGGAATTTCAAGACCTTTACTAGGAAAATTTAAAAGTTGTCTAGTATGTAGCCTGATTTGTCCAACTGTCTAGGTTTACCCCACTAGTGGTTACCCTTGAGAGTCGTAAGGGTAGGAAGTTTTTAAAGGGCCTTCGTGCTGATATCTACGACCGGATCGCGATGCTAAGACCCAACTTGTATGTCGAGGTGCTGGAACAAGCCTAGTTGGCCAAAGATTTTATCTTGGTTCGACATCAATGCATTTTTTTGAGTTCGTACCTAGTAACATCAACCCCAACCGCAACAACCAAGAAAAATATTGCCTGACCTAATTAGTAGCCACCCTGATAAATGACCCCGAGTTTTCCCTCCCCCAATTTTTCCTCCACCTACTAGACACCCTGCCCGACTTACCCAACCATATAAACATTGTGGATGCTTTCATGGTGATCAGCCTTGTTGGCATTTGAACAACGTCTGCTATAAGTGCGGAAACACTTAACATTTTGTGAAAGACTGTCCCAGCAACTAAAGGACATGGCAAGACCCATAGCCTAGGGTCATGTATACCACGTTGATGAACACGATACCCTCGCCACTCTTGCTCTTATCCAAGGTATGCTTTATATTCATGACATTTCTGCTCAAGCTTTGATTGATATAGGTGACACCCATTTTCTTATTTCATGTTCTTTTGCTTGTAAGTTAGATATTAGGCATGAACCTTTAAATGAGTATTAGCAGTACAAACTCCCTCTAGAGGTCTATTAGAAGCTCATTATGTGTATAAAAATTGTAAAATAAAAGCTTCAGGAGTAGAACTATTAATAGACATTATACTTTTTGATTTTTCATGATTCAATGTTATCTTAGTTATGGATTGGTTAGAAAAGTATAGTACAATTATCAACTATGAAAATAAGATTATAACTTTACGTTCACCAAAAATGAAATAAAAATCTTATAAATTTTGTTTTACTATTTTCCAACCTCTAAATAAACAGGAATATGGATGTTGATCCCTTCGTAAGCACCATTTCTACTGTTTATAACTTTTCGAACATCTTTCTAGAGGAATTACCTAGTCTATCTACCCCCACAAAAGATATAATTTTCTATCAATTTGTTTCCTGAAACACAACCTATCTCAAAACCCGTTTATCTGATGAGTCGCAGAACTTGAAAACCAACTCTCTGAACTTCTTAGTCAAAACTTTATCGCCCCAGTCATTTTCCTTGGGGTGCCCCAGTGTTATTTATGAAGAAAAATGATGGCTCCCTCCAATTGTGTATAGACTACAGAGAGCTCAATTGTATAATAGTAAAATTAAGTACTTTTACATTATATTGATGATCTCTTCGATAAATTGCAACGTGCTACAGTTTTCTCAAAAATCAATCTTAGATCAGGGTACTACCAGTTGAGAGTTAAAAAAGAAGATACCACAAAAACAGCATTTCGATGCTGATATGGTCACTATGAGCTCAAGGTTATGCCTTTTGGACTAACTAATGTCCATGTTGCTTTCATGGATCTTATGAACAGGGTCTTTCGGCATGCGTTAGATCAATACATCATCGTGTTCATTGATGACATCCTAGTGTATTATGAGAGCTATGAAGAACATACAGCTCACTTGTCTCGAGTATTGAAAACCCTCCGTCAAAATCATCTATATGCTAAGTTCAGCAAATGCTCTTTTTGATTGGATCGAGTCTCCTTCCTTGGCCATGTAATTTTTGGCAAAGGAGTATATGTGGATCCATCCAAGGTTGAAACATAGATAAACTAGAACTCGTCAACAAATGTCGCTGAGGTACGCAATTTCCTTAGTTTGGCAAGTTATTATCGGCGATTCATCGATGGGTTCTCCAAGATTGCAGCTCCATTGACTCGTCTCACCAGGAAATGTGTACCTTTTATATGGGACTATGAATGTGATGAAAGTTTTACTGAGTTAAAGTATCGTCTCACCTCTGCTCCAGTGTTGATCCTCCCCATACTAAAAGATTTCAAGTTTACTATGATGCATCTCACATGGGTTTGGGATATGTTTTGATGCAACACGGTCGGGTAATTACTCATGAATCCAAATAATTGAAGCTCCATGAGTGTAACTACCCCCCTCATAACTTAGAGTTGGTAGCCATAGTCTTTGTCTTGAAGATCTGACGCCATTATCTGTATGGTCAGACATTTAAAATATATACTAACCGTAAGAGTTTGAAGTATATATTTTTGTAGAGAGAATTAAATATGAGACAAAGACATTAGATTAACCTCCTGAAGGATTATAATTGTAAATTCATCTACCACCCCGGTAGAATTAATGTGGTTGCTGATACTCTGAGCCAAAAGAAATCTATTTTGTTTGCCCAAACCATGGCTTCTAGTTGGAAATTAGTTGATGTTATGCAAGCGCTCTGCCTTTACCATTATGGCAATGGTGCCTACCTCGCCCAAATCCAAGCTTTGCCTGATCTTTTCATGAAGATTTGGGAAGCTCAATCCTCCGACCCAAAAATAACCAAAAATTTGAGTAAGTCTATTTCTGACAAATTTCCTAATTTTAGGCTCACAAATGATAGATTCTATAGATTTTGTGATTGTATTTGGGTCCTCACTGCTGTCAGGACAGATATTCTCAAGGCTGCCCATGCCTCTAAATTGTCCATCCACCCCGGATGTACCAAGATGTACAGGGACTTAAGGTGTCAATATTGGTGGCCTGAAATAAAGAAAGACATTATCGACTATGTCTTTTAATGCCTTACTTACCAGCGAGTTAACGTTGAATACAAGAGACCTAACAAGTTGTTGTAAGGCCTCCCTATTCCAAAATGAAAGTGGGAGCATGTGACCACAGACTTTGTCATCGGTTTACCCAGAACCTGTTTCGGTCGAAATGCAATATGGGTCATCTTTGACAGGTTGACCAAGACCGCCCATTTTTTACCAATCAGAACCACATATTCTACTAGTAGATTAACCCGTCTGTACATTGAGGAGAGTGTTCAACTCCACGATGTTTCCTCATCCATTATATCAGATAAAGATCCTCGATTCACCTCTCATTTCTAGGACAACTTTTAAGAAGCACTTGGTTCGGGATTGTACTTCAATACTCCCTATCATCCTCGGACGGATGGTTAGTTTGAATGTAGTATCTAGACACGCAAAAATATATTGCGCACTTGTGTTCTCAATTTTGATGATAACTGATATAAGTATCTTCCCTCGTGTGAATTTGCTTATAAAAACAGTTATCATTCTAGTATCGGCATGGCTCAGTATGAAGCCCAGTATGGTAAGCCCTGTCATTCTCCCACTTGCTAGAACGAAATCAGGAATAAGCGTCATTTGGAACATGATTACATTTAAGAGACTAACGAGAAAGTCGCCACCATTCTAGGAAACCTAGCCACTGCTCAGAGTTGCCAGAAAACCTACACCAACATCTGTAGAAGACCCATAGAGTTTGTTATTGATGATCAAGTCTTCCTTAAGATCTTCCCTTACGAGGAAAAAATACGGGTTCGGTCATAACGGTAAGTTGGAGCCCCCATTATATGGGACATTTTTAGATCGTGGAATGTGTTAGACCCATGGCATATGCC